GAGAGAGAGAGAGAGAGAGAGAGAGAGAGAGAGAGAGAGAGAGAGAGAGAGAGAGAGAGAGAGAGATGGCGGCCGTCGTGGCCGTCGTGAGGGAGATGGTCGACGGGAAGGAGGTCGTCGTGCAGGAGACAAGGCACGAATGAGGGAGCGAGCGCCACCGCCAAATGGAATGGGGCCCTGGCGTACAAACAAACCACACGCGTGTCTATTACGCACTAGTGAATGGCTTGATGGCCATGCGGATGGTGGCATGGCTGGGCTACGACGGGGACAACAACCTCATGGAGGTTGTTCTGGTCGTGCGTAAACTGTCTAGTGTTGTCCCCGACACATGGCAAATGCCAAACCCTGATGTCGTGGGCGACATGGTGAGGTACCTCATCTCTGCAATCGCCGAGGAACATGTGGCGGCCATGGATGAGAATGCTTCGTATATTGCGGAATTGGAGCCTCCCTTTCGCGGGAGGGAGTACCTTCATGTCACTGTCCAGATCTGGTGCCCGGAGGACGGCATTAGGGTCGCGCAGAACATGTGGTAAGGTCCAGTCTTCGTATGCAGCTGCAGGCGCATGGATGACACACATCCTCCGGACTGTTGCAGCACCTTGTTTGGGGGATGACACTATTCAGGTGCCGCTAGAATGACCTTCGACGTGTGCAGGACGGTCGATTAGCGGGGACCGGCGATGGAGGGGACGAGGGGTTGATTGCAGAGTGGTTCGCGGACTTCATGTTGTGTTCATATGGCGGGTGATGTTTGTGGGATCGCACTACTTCGATGGAAGCAGGGTTTGTTGTCTTCCTGCGGACGAACCGCAGATGGGTCAATCCTCTCTGTCGAGGAAGCAATCAATGCCCATCTCCGGTTATGTCGACTCATGATAATTTTCTGTGCGATGGCACGGTTGTTGTAATTTTGTTGTCCATATGCATGGCTTTGTGCATGTGTCTGTGTGTCTTTCTGCGAAAATCAAATGTGACTGCGTGTATGCACGTGTGTGTTTCTGGAAGTCCTTATTTATTACAATAACATTTAAATTTTCATTCTCTTGACAGTGTGGGTGATTGAGTTCGTTGGCATCCCTGCTGTTGGAGTGCTTAAACTTGAAATTCATTTCGCCATTGTCGTTTTCGACACATAAACCGTTCTTGTTTTGTTTTTTTGTGTGACTTACGTGGGGCATCATTCTTCTATGACCACTTCAAACAAATGGACGAGGTCGAGCGGACATAACGGGATTTCATGCTGTTGCTGGAAATGTGTTGAGCTACAGAGCACCTCCGACTGTTGATGCTGATATGTGCCTGTCTCTTATACACATCTAGATGTGTATAAGAGACAGGTGCAGTTTTTGAGGTGAATGTATATATATATCCAGGTGCCTGGAAGCTGTACCCCTTTTCCATGGGCCGCAAACGAGGTTTGTCGGTGGGCCGATGGTGGCGGGGGCCGACTATATATAGGGTGGTTGTGTGGCCTGCAGCAGTGTGTCAAGTGTTCTTCGCGCAGCCTGCGCAGGCATCATGCGGAAGGTGAGGGTTGTCACTTTCCGTCCTTGGCTGTTTTCCACGGGTGACAGCCCTTGATCATCTTTTACTCGCGTGCGCACATGTGTGTGTGTGTGTGTGTGTGTGTGTGTGTGTGTGTGTGTGTGTGTGTGTGTGTGTGTGTGTGTGTGTGCGTGTAGATGTGTGTGTGGGGATGGAGAAGAGAGAGAGAGAGAGAGAGAGAGAGAGAGAGAGNAGAGAGAGAGAGAGAGAGAGAGAGAGAGAGAGAGAGAGAGAGAGAGAGAGAGAGAGAGAAATGCATGAAGTACGACAATGTCATCTCTCTCTCTCTCTCGATTTGTCATCACATGGACGATAACGTCTTGCACACGTAATATCGAACGGGAAGTTGTTGCACTCGAATGTCATTAAAAAACTCTCTCTCTCTCTCTCTCTATATATATATATATATATCATATATATATATATATTATATATATATCGTCAAATAGAACTGCCCGGTAAACCGTAGGCAGAGAGGGAGAAGAGGATATATCATATATATATATATATATCCATCCAATCATGCCTGTGCATACCGGACCTCCTATCAACCTATGCATCTGCTCATGCCGCCACACAACACCAAGGAGGTCGTTGTGGCACACCATGCACTCGAACATGGTGGACGACATGAGTCATCAACCTTGACCTATATTCTGCCCCTTCCTCGCTGCCATACAAGTCATCTGTTGAATCGTGACAGGCCTGCCGCCATCGTCGTCGCGCGGCAGGGTTCCTTGGTGGCTGCGGATGTGGCGGAGGGTTGTCAACTTGTCATCGTCGGAGTCATCACCGTCGGAGGCGCAAAGCTCGTTGACGTCTACATTGTGGTCTAGAAGAATGTTGTGCAATATACAGACGACCATAAACTCTTCGCACAACGTCTTCAAGTTGCCAATCTGCCGACGAATGAAATTTCGCCAGACAACCTTTGGAACGCCGAACATCCGCTTGATGACGCTCCTTGCGGTGGAGTGCGAGTCATTGAAGGTGACATCATCTGCGGTACGACGACGAGGAGGAACTGGCCTGATCAACCACGACAAACAAGGAAAGTGTGCATTCCCCAGTACATAGCGCCGATGATAGCGACCAGTTCTTGTCCCGTCACTGAGCGTGTGTGCACCGGCACTGAACACTCCTAGACCGTTTTTAGCGTCGGAGTACAAAGGAGATAGCCGCAACGCCCGAGAGTCATGGTTAGACCCCGGACACCCAACGTGGACATCCAAAATTCTGCATTTGTGGTCGCAGACCACCTGCGTGATGATCGAAAACTGTCCCGTCCTGTCGTAGGAGCACTCGCCACGCTCCTTCCTCGACTTTTCAATGTACAGGTCAGTGCAATCTATCGCACCCACACAACCTGGAAAACCCTTCCATTCAAATACATCCAAAGTCTCCTGGAGACGGCGACCCCGCAGAAAGGAGATAACATGACCGTATTCCTTGATGATTGTGTCGGCCACCTCTTCATTGCTCCGCAGTGCACTGGCGAGTCCCATGCCCAACCCATGAGCAGACTGTCTTTAGAAACCGCCAGTAGCCCATCTGATCAACGCACATGCAAATTTCTAATCCGGAGGCAATGGCTGCCTCCAGTTCGTCGTTGCCCCCTGAATATGAGGTGCTATTCGGCATAACACGTCCTCAAACAATGGACAAGGGAGCCTGCAAAACCTTTTGAAGACCTTGTCATGTCTCCTACTCACGCGTTGAAGATCCTTCCACACACCACCGCTGCGATCAAGTATCCAAATCCTTCCACTACTCCGCCTCTCTCGTGAATGGCACTCAAAGCCGCATGGAGAAGATGAAGGTTGTGACCAACACCATACGTCAAGAGTCCCAAAACAACCGGCATTCCAGGATCCCACAGAGGCAATGACGCCGCAGCCTCAATAACGGTCATGGTCGCCTCGTTCGTTTGTTTCATCCGCTGCATGATGACGAAAACGACCATGAAAAGCATGTCGTCTCACTCCGCACTCGCATCCGAGCATGCACCGCTGCCAGGCCTGCTGTCGCATTTCGTTGCTTCATGCGTGCCAGACATGTCCCCATCTCCATTGCTGAAACCCGCTTCCATGGCCACACGGTCAAGCACTTTCAGGCGGTGAACGGAAATGGCGACCACGCGTGCCACACCATGACTGGTGATGGCGTTGCAACGGCGGAGGGAGCGCCAATGGTCAATGGTCCCAGACCCAAAGGAAAACGGTCGACGAGACACTCCTGCGGCCGTGAGGTTCCACAAGAGTCAGGTCCTGTCGCTGGGACCCGTTGTTCTGTCGCCCGCACCTCCTATTCCTGTCACACCATGCCGCGCTTGTCCCGCGCATGGACATCTGGAGGACCGAAAACCGAACCTGTTCAATGAGGGCGGCCACCATCCACTTCCCATTTTGGGAAAGGACGATTGTGCTTTCCTGTTTGGGCAAGAAGGTCGTCCGCGGACGCTAAAATTTCGTGGTGCAGTGGGGTCCCGTGTTCCTGGAAAGCTCTGTGCGCGGTGGACGAACCCCGTCCTGCGCGGACAATTTCTCTGCCTTTCCGCGAGCCTGTGGGGTCTTCCCTTTAGTAAGTGAGCGAGCACATTTTCGACACCGGCATCTTTGGCAATTTTTTATTTTTTTTTGGCAAATCCAAATTCCCTGAAAATAAACAAATGTCTACTTCACATGATACAAAAATCATTAAGAGAGTTTCAAAAATAATAATTTTTTTCATGCCCCGCAATAAAGTGAAAACAAAAAGTAAAAAGTGAAAAAAAACAAAATAGTGAGTGGGCGAGCACGTTTTGACACCGCCATCTTTGAAGATTTTTAATTTTTTCTTGGCTAAGCAAAATGACTTCCAAATTTATAGGCATGTACCTCACATCATAGAAAACTCACAAAAAAACATTCAAAAAAAAACCTTATCTTTAGGCCTCGAAATAATTTTTGGCAGGGGCCGAATGCCATCGGGTTCAGACCCCGAACGGGACCCCGAACTCCC